ACTACCACTACCACTACCACTACCACTACCACTACCACTACCACTACTCCTACTCCTACTCCTACTCCTACTACTACTACTACTACTACTACTACTACTACCACGACGACGACGACGACGACGACGACGACTACTACTACTACTACTATTACTACCCCTCCTCTTCCCCCTCCTCCTCCTTTTTCTCCTCTGTACCCCTCCTTCTCCTCCTACTCCTCCTCCTCCTTCTCCCCACCCATCCTCCTCTAACTCCACTTCCACCTCCTTCACTTCCTCCTCCTCCTCCTCCTCTTCCTCCTCCTCCTCCTCACCCTCACCCTGGGTCAGGAGATGGAGGCGCTGGTCGGAGGGATCAACGCCTTCATCCAGCGCTACCCGATCGACCAGCGCTGTTACGAGTACCTGACCACCTCCTCCAGCGCGGTCATCACCCGGGTCCTGCAGGAGTTCCGCCCGCCCCGCGAGGGCGAGCCCGACTACTCGGGACTCGTCACATCTCGAAGAGCAAAGAGGAGGCATGAGCATGAATGTGTTGAGGTCCGCGCGGATTTCTTGGACCGGCGTTGGGCCCCCTGGGCGGCGACTCTGGCGCCGCCCCTGGCGCCAAAGGCGCGCCAGGGAGTGGGGGTCCAGCTCGGATCCGAGACATCCGCACGGGTTTCCCACAGTTTATGCTTCTGCTGTTTTTTCTTCTTCGAACATCGTGGATCAAGCGCATGAGGACACAGAACGGCGAGGGCCCCGCGGGCATCGCCATGGGGGCTGGGGACATGGCGGGCGGGCCAGAGATGACGCAGGAAATGGTGAACGAGTTCTTCATGAAGTACCCGTGCGACGAGCGGGCCACGGAGTATTTCAACGTGTCCCCGCGGGAGGTCCAGACCGCGGTGGTGACGCAGTTCCGGCCTCGGTCGGAGGGAGACGCGGACTACTCCGCGGCGATCACATCGTTCATCAGGTACAAGAGCACCAAGGGGGCGGGGAAGGGCGCCCCCGCGGGCGGGATGGGCGGCGCCGCGCCCGGCGTGATGCCCGTGCAGCAGTTTGCCGGGGCCGGCTTCCAGCGGCCGGCCGGGGCGGCGAACCCGAACGCGGCGTGGGCCATCGCGGAGATAGATCCACTGGCGGCGCCCCTGGACCTGGAGGCGTTCCGCGCCCAGTACCCCATGGACGACCGCGCGTGGGACTTCCTGCAGAACGTGGACCCGCGGGTCCTGGAGGGGAAAGAGCACACAGACACAAGGAGTCGTCGATTGCCCAGGAGAGCCATGGGGAACTGTGGGAAGGGAAGTGGGGGAGGAGGCGAAGAGCCAAAGATGCCGGAAGCTTAGGGGACTCCTGGGATTCGTGCGTATTTGTTTGTGTGTCCCCGGGCCCCTGCAGGTGCAGAGGCGGGTCGTGGAGACCTTCCGGCCGATGCGGGAGGGCGAGGCCGACTACTCGGCAAAGATCACGGCTTACGTCAAGTCCAATAAGCAGATATGGCAGGAGGCGTCGGCCGACGTCGCCCTGACGCAGGATTCAGTCGGGCGTGTCCCTCTACAGGAGGAACCTTCCAAAATATTCACAAAATAGTATGGGTACGATTTTCCCACCATTTTAAATCAATGCGTTTGTTTGACTGTTTGTATTTTTCGTCCAAGCTCCACCTGTAGGGGGACACGCCCGACCTAAACGCAGGAGGTGGTAGACGTTTTCTTCACCAAGTACCCGTGCGACGAGAAGGCCACGCAGTACTTCAACCAGTGCCCGCGGGAGCTGCAGACGGTGATCGTGCGCGAGTTCCGGCCGAGGTCGGAGGGAGACGCGGATTACTCCGCGGCGATGACGTCGTTCATCAAGTACAAATCCAACTGGCTCGCAGGAAAGGGTGGTGGGGCGCCGCAGCAGCAGTTCGCGCAGCAGCAGGTGCAGTTCGTTCAGCAGCCGCAGTTCGTGCAGCAGCAGGTGTTCGTGCAGCAGCCGCAGTTCGCGCAGCAGCAGCAGTTTGCGCAGCAGCAGTTCGCCCCGCAGCCGCAGCAGTTCCAGCGGCCAGCAGGGGTGCCGAACCCGAACGCGGCCTGGGCCACCGAGGAGCTAGATCCGACGGCGGCGCCCGTGGACCTGGAGAGCTTCAGGGATCTCGGAGAGAGAAACGCTGCATAAACAGAAACCTTCGGATGTCCGCGCGGCTTTCTCGGATCGGCGACGGAGCCGCCGCCAGCGGGCACCGCGCCAGTCCAAGAAGGCCGCGCGGACCTCCGAAGTGTTGTTTTTGCACATGCGGAGGAGGGGGGAGGGAGTAGGAGGAGGGGGGAGGGAGGAGGAGGGAGGCGGAGGGGGAGGAGGAGGGGGAGGAGGGGGAGGAGGGGGAGAAGGATGAGGAGGAGGAGGAGGAGGAGGCGGAGGAGGCGGAGGAGGAGGAGGAGGAGGAGGAGGAGGAGGAGGAGGACCTCCCCAGGCTCAGTACCCGATGGACGACCGCGCCTGGGATTTCCTCCAGAACGTGGACCAGCGGGTCCAGAAGCGGGTCGTGGAGACCTTCCGGCCGCACAGGGAGGGCGAGGCCGACTACTCGGCCAAGATCACGTCTTACGTCAAGTCCGTGAAGAACATGCACCGGGAGGTACAGGCCGAGTCCACCTTGACGCAGGAGTCGACGACGACGACGACGACGAGGACGACGACGAGAACGACGACGACGACGACGACGACGACGACGACGACGACGACGACGAGAACGACGACGACGACGACGAGAACAACGACGACGACGACGACGACGACGACGACGACGACGACGACGACGACGACCGCGGCCGACGATGGTTTCTTCTGCTTTTTCTCCTTGCGTCTCTATTCTAGACGCGTCGCGTAACAGCCCATCCAGAAACGATGCCTGGGCGCGTTGTCCCGATCAGGGATGTGGAGGAGCCTGCAGAGGAATACAGTGCTGGGGAAGCCGTCATGCCCCACGAAGAGGAGGATGAAGGAGGAGGAATCGGACGAGATGGAGGAAGACGGGGAGGGGGAGAGGGACGGGGGGGGGGAGGGGGGGGAGAGGAGGGAGGAGGAATAGGCGCATGAGGAAGATGAGGGAGGAGGGAGGAGGGAGGAGGAGCAGGAGGAGGAGCAGGAGGAGGAGCAGGAGGAGGAGGAGGAGGAGGAGGAGGAGGTGGAGGTGGATGTGGAGGAAGAGGAGGAGAAGCAGAAGGGCGAGCAGAAAAGCCAGAAGCCTCTCGAGAGCTTCCTGGAGTCATCTTGGGGCATCTTGGGGGCCTCCTGGCGGTCCCGGTGGCCTCTTGGAGCGTCTGAGGTGCCTCGGGGGAGCGGTATGAGGCCCTCTGCGGGGCTTTTGGGAGCCTCTTGGGGAGCTATTGTGGGCCTCTGGAGGTCCCCAGGGGCCCTCTTGGAGCCTCATTTTAGGGCCAGATTGGAGGAAATCGACCAGGGAAGAGGATCCTTTGTTAGTCCCCCCCCCAGGAGGCCAGAATGGGTTCAAATGTTTCAGTAAAATGAATGAGTTGTGCCTTCTCGCCGATGCCTTCTTGGACGCTCTGACCCCTCGTGGCGCGGCCCCCCCAAACGAAACCCCCTAGGAGGGGAGGGGGAGGGTACACCCCAGGCGATGCTTAAGAAAACCTAAGTTTTCGTCCAGAGTCTCGATTATTCTTAATTTTTCAATATAAATCCCAATATTTTGATAGAAGTTCTGGGTTTTATTCCATTTCTGAGATTATGAATTTCTTAACCCATGATTTCTTAAGCATTTCGCAGGGTGTACCCCTCCCCGAAGGGAAGAGGGGTTGGAAGAGGAATGACAAAACTCCTCGGACCACCCACGCCCAGTGGGCCGATGGGCCTTCGGAAGCGTCTCGGAAGCAGAGAAGCCCCGACGAGGAGCCTCGAGGAGCATCGAGGAGGTCGAGGAGCATCGAGGAGGTCGAGGAGCATTGACTCTGCGGCGGTCGGGGAGCATCGGGGAGCGCCGAGGATCCAGGAGGAAGAGGGATCGGGCCCAGGCCCCCAGCGTATTCAGAAAAACAAGGCGGAGGTTCGTCGTCACTTGGGGCGTCGGGAGGGGCCCTCGCCAGGCCCCGGGGCAGTCAACAGTCAACTGGTCGTTTTTTGTATTCATTGTTCAGCCGATCGGCGCGGGCCCTCGCATTTCCCCTCCCCCCCCCCCTCCATGCAGTGGATCTCGGTGTTTTTGGCGCCTGTTTCGAGCAGGTGGAGTCCCTCCCCCATAGGACGCACTGTCGCAAACAGTCGCACTAAGCAGAGGTCCGCAGCCAGACCCCCCCCCCTCCCACCACTTTCCGCCCAATGTCGAAATGCCGAATGAAAAAACGCTCACCAATCCAGGACGAAAAACCGGTTCCCGGGGAAGTGGTCCAGAGCTTCGGGGACACCGTGCAAAGACAGAATCAAGACGTTGCACACGCAGGATGTCGAAGACGACAAGACGGAATGAGCATAGACTTTTGGAACTCCGCGCGGATTTCGCGGATCGGCGCTGGGCCCCCTTCAAGGTCGCGGAGAGCGCGCCGCCAGGTAGCGCAGCGCCGAATCCTTGCGGAGCTCTGGAAGGTCTCATTGTTCATGCCGCGATCTTCCTCTAGCAGGAGGCGGTGGAAGCTTCTTCACTGGGGGGGATAGCTAGGAGAGGGGGCGGCTGTCATGGCCAGGGCCATGCTTCGTGAGATCTCTCCGGATTTCATGGCACGCTTCTCCTACTTCAGGACGTTCCCTGGTCCCCCCTGGGCCGCGCACACCCCTCTGGTCATGATTTTCGAGCGCCCCCCTCGGCCGTGCCCGACAGGAGGCGGTAGACGCTTTCTTCACCAAGTACCCGTGCGACGAGAAGGCCACGGAGTACTTCAACCAGTGCCCCAGGGAGATGCAGGCTGCGATCCTGCGCGACTTCAGGCCTCGGTCGGAGGGAGACGCGGACTACTCCGCGGCGATGACGTCGTTCATCAAGTACAAGAGCTCCGCCCCCTGGGCCGCGGGAAAGGGCGGCGGCGGCATTCGGAGAAGAAGAAAGGGCACAGGCAAAAAATTCTCGGAGTTCCGCGCGGATCTCTCTTCATTGAAGATGAGAGAACCCCTAGACCCAATGACACGATGAAGACGTGGCCTCACTAAGGTCCTCGTCTTCGCATTAGGGATAATATTCTGGGTGGTTTGGCTCGATACACCTGCAGAAAAGACCCCCATATCCCTAATGTTCCTGGCCCTCCTAACTTGGGTAGGGATCTCGTTCTGGCCCCCCTGGCAGCGCCGCCCCCGGCGCGATCCGCGCGCCAGGGAGGGGGGTCCGCGCGTCGCTCCGAATGCTTACGTTTGCGTTGTTTTTTGGTCCCCAAGGCAAGGGCGGCGGCTGCATGGGGGGCATGGGCGGCGCGGCACCCGGCATGATGCCAGCGCAGCAGTTCGCCGGGGCCGGCATGCAGACAGGAGGCCCCTTGACGCAGCAGGCTCCGGCGTTGCGCAATGGGGGGGTATCAACCCAGACATCGGGCGTCTCAAAAAAAGTCGAGACGTTTTTCGTCGTTTTCGACCTCTCGGGGCCCTCGCCGGGCCTCGGGACCGTCAAGAAACGACTCGGGATGGAAAAAACGGTCCCGGGGAAGCGGTCGGGAGGTCGGGGGCCTGTGTCTCGAAACAAGTCGAGGCGTCGGATGTCTGGGAAGGGGGGGTGACCTAAGGGGGGCGCCCTGGGGCGTCCGTGTCCTAAGGGGGGCGCCCTGGGGGGTGACCTAAGAAAGATGCATTTGTCCGTGTCCGAAGGGGGCGCCCTGGGGCCCACGAGGAGCACGAGAGGTGTACGCTTCCTCCCCTCCCACTCGTGGCGCTCCCAAGCCCGGATAATAGCTGAGCAGTCCAGAATGCGTGCAAGCCTTCGGGAGACTCCTGCAAAAACACTTTGAGAGGATGTCTGGGCAGCTTGCAAGCTCGAGAAAGGAGCGTCGCAGGAGCGGAGGCAGGATCGCGAAGGAGCTGCGCAACGGCTTGCGGCACACGCATTGGGAACGAGTAGGAGAACGCTTCCAGAACACGCTGGAGGGTCGAGCAACTCGCTGCCGGGATGCTTGGCCGGCGCTGGAAGGAGCTCTACCCTGTGCTTGCGGCTTCTAATATGACACCCTCTTAGCTCTCGAATAGCTCTCCAGAAATATCTCGCGTCCCCCAAGTGGCCAACGCCCGACAGGCGGTGGACATGTTCTTCCAGAGGTACCCTTGCGACCAGCGGGCCTGCGAGTACTTCAGTTCGTGCTCGGTGGACGTGCAGACGGCCGTGGTGCAGCAGTTCCGGCCGAGGACGGAGGGGGACTCCGACTACTCCGCGGCCATGACGGCGTTCATCAAGCGGTGCCTGGGCGGCGGGATGCCGCCGCAGCAGTTCGCGCCGCAGCAGCAGTTCGCGCAGCAGCCGCAGCAGTTCGCGCAGCAGCCGCAGCAGTTCGCGCAGCAGCAGTTCGGGGGGCCGGCGGCCAAGCGCATGCGCACGGGCATCTGACGCCGCACCCGCGGCGCGCGCGGCCCGTGATGAGCCTGTTTTCCATCCACCATCACCATGAGTTGGAGGGGGGAAGGAGGAGGGCGAGGAGGAGGAGGAGGAGGAGGAGGAGGACGAAGAGGAGGCGGACGATAGGAGGGAGGAGGAGGAGGAGGAGGAGGAGGCGAACGATAGGGGGAGGAGGAGGCGGAGGAGGAGGAGGACCCCCCCTCCAACTCCTGGTGGCGGTGGTGGAACACTCGCCCGGCCGCCCGGCCGGGCCTCCCCGCGCGCGCGGGCGCGGGCGCGAGGCGGGGCCTCTCGCCTGGCACGCCCCCCCGCCCGCGCCACGTCCGGGGCGCCGCCCGGCCGCGCCCGGGCGCGCGGCGTGCGGCGCACCGGCGGCCGCGAGAGCCCGGGGCCGAAGAAGCCGGGCAGGGGCTGCTATATACCCCGAGATGCAACGCGTTGGAAATATCAAGACGGAGGTTTTCCGCAGGTTTTGGCCTCCATAGGCCAGGCCCCGGGACCGTGAGCAGAACGACTCAGGATGGGAAACGGGTCCTAACCCAGACACAGGGCGTCTCGAAAAAATCGAGACAAGGGTCTTTTGTCTTTTTCGGCCTCTCGGGGCCTTCGCCGGGCCTCGGGACCGTCGAAAAACGACTCGGGATGAAAAACCGGTCCCGGGGAACTGGTCGAGAGGTCGGGGGCCCGTTTCTCGAAAAAATCGAGACGCCGGATGTCTGGGAAATCCGTGGCTGCTAAAATCGACCTCCGGGAAGTTGTCTTCGTCCTTCCTGGAAGAGGCTCGTTGACTGTTTCGCGTGCCGCGCCTCATTCAGGGAAGTTTTGTTGTTCTTTCCGGGATGGCCGTTTTAGCAGCCACGGTTTTAGCAGCCCTCGCCCACTTCTCGACTGGGGCCGAAGAAGCCAAAACGGCATAAGCATAAACTCTGGGCGCTTCGCGCGGGTCTCTTGGATCCGCGCTGGAGCCCTCCCGGCGGTGCCTGCCGCGCCGTCCCTGGCGCGCGCTCTGCGCGCCAGGGGGGGGGGGTCCAGCGCAGATCCAAGACGCCCGCGCGGAGTGTCACAAGTTTATGCAATATGACGTGTTTGTTCTTCTTCTACGGGGGGGCCCTCCGAGGGGATGACTTACAGGCCTCCCGAGTGGGGTCAGAGCCCCCTCCTCCTCGGAAGTCGGGCCGAACGAAAGGGGGGGATAGGGAAAGGGGGGGGTGCGAAATATGCTGCATGCAGTTGGTTTCGGCCTCGCCGCCGGGCCCATTCCTCGGTAAACGGGCGCCTTCCGGCGCTGGGAGGCGCTGGGAAGATCAGCTACGTGAGCTGATTATCTACCCTACCCTTGGCTATCCCCCCCTTTCGTTCCCCCCAGAGGGAAGGTTTCTCGCCCCGGGATGTTTTTTTTTCCCAGCAGCTACGCCTCGCCGTGAGCGAGTGCCCGAGGTGCTGAGGATCGTCTACCGAACGGCCGACGGAGGCTGAAACAAGCGTGTTTCTTTTTATTGCTTGGGGCATAATGGGCATTATAGTTAAGTGGGGCTTGTCCCTCTACAGGGGGACAATTCAAAAGCAATCGAAAAATAGATAGTCAGGGGACGATTTTAAAATATGTTTGACTATTGGGGGGGCATTTTGTTGAGTAGATTCTATGTTTCCTCAATAATCTGCATGTAGGGGGACAAGCCCGACCTAGCATTATAGCCCCCGGCCCCCCCTCCCCCCCCATAACGTAACCCCCTCCCCCCCCCACAGTGCCCTGCAGGCACTGCCGCCGTGCGCACGGCGGGGGGGAGGCGTTACATTATATACCCCCCTCCCTGGCCCATCCCACCCACCCCTTACAATGCCCACTATCGCCGAACATAAAGAGACGCGCTCAAACCAAGACCTCCAAAATCCGACTCGATGTGAGGCTCAAGTTTCTCCACGTCGGCGTCGCAGCTGCATCGGCGACCCCTTGTGCTCGGACCCCATCCGGGAGGCCTCCAGCTGAGTAGCTGCTTGCTTGTGTGTCCGAAGAGGAGAAACCGGCGCGATCCGAAACCTAGGTTCAAGCAGTGGCGAAGCGTCCTAGCTCGCCTACAGGCCTACCAAAGAAGGTTCTAAGAACCTGTTGCGGTCTGCCCGACATGTTCTCAGAACGCTTCCGGCTGGGATTGCCTTGCTTTGACACATCGGGCTTATACTCAGAGCGTGAATTACCTCCCCCGCTTTCGCTTCCAGGCAAGACCAAGTCATACCACGCGCCTCCTCGTCAAGCGGCCTGACCAGTACAGGCCGTAGTTTGGCATCGCTTGGTATCTCTTGGAAGCGAGGGTGGTCAAAAGCGAGGTATACGTTCTAGGAACACTGTCTTTGCTCCTGCAGCATGTCTGGGCTCTGAGAACAGTACGCGGTGGCGGCCCCGGCCCAACAGGTCGCCCGATGGGGGCGCGCAGGAGGCACCGCTCCGCACGTCGCGGCCGAGGGCCCGCGGGAGGGGCGCCTTCGCCTCCAGGCGCGGTGGCATGCCAGGGGCGCGAGGGGGAGGCGCGCGTCGCCCACCGCGGGGCGCGGGGCGCCAGGTCGGCTGGCCCGGGGAGGCCTTCGGAGGCGAGGAGGAGGAGCCAGGAGGAGGAGGAGCCAGGAGGAGGAGGAGGAGGAGAGGCTAGGAGAAGCTAGGAGGAGAAGCTAGGAGGAGGAGGAGGAGGAGGACCTTCGGAGGGGAGCTAGGAGGAGGAGGAGGAGGAGGAGGAGCTAGGAGGAGGAGGAGCACTGCAAACCCAAGAGTCATCAACGATGTTGGAATAAACCCTCCCTCCAAGCTGTTCTCTTCGCAGGCCCCCACAAGGGTTCATTTCCACCGGAGGAGTTGCCTCGTTGGAAGACAACTGCGCGAAGACCCTGAAGCATGCCAAAACGTTGTTCTCGGGATTCCAACGCCACGGATCAACCTGATAGGTGCGTCTTGACGATCCTGAATCGTGCCAGAACACCATTCCTGGGACTTCAACACCGCGAATGAACGTAACTGCTGCACCCTCTTAATCCTGAATACTTCCAGCACTTTATGCCTGGTACGCTGATCATGGGAATCCGTGAAACGCATGTAAAATGTTTAAAAACGAATGTGCGCGGTGCTGAGGTCAGAGTCACATTTCGAAAAGGCAGAGCCCTCAATGCGTGATCTTGTTTGCAATTGTGTAACACGAATGTGCGCGGCGTTCAGGCGAGAGCCACATTTTGAACACCATTCGCCCTCAATCCGTGAAGCTCTTGCGAACTGCTGAAACGAATGTGCGCCGCGCTGAGGCGAGAGCCGCATTTTGAAAACCATTCGCCTTCAATCCGATAAACTCTTGCAAATGTTTAAAACGAATGTGCGCGGCGCTACAGCGAGAGCAACATTTTGAAAACGACCTGCCCCCCCATCAGTGGAACTGTTGCCAACGTTTGAGTTGCATTGTCATTACTGGTGAGGAAGTCTCAGGCGAGACGCCCAACCCGCCCTAAAAACTGGCCTCGGGGTGCGACAGGGAGAAGGTATCTACAAGGACGAGGCATGGAGGAGGAGGAGGAGGAGGAGGCGGAGAAGGAGAAGGAGAAGGAGGAGGAAAGAAGGGCGAAGAGGAGGAGGTGGAGGAGGAGGAGGAGGAGAAAAGGGCGAGGAGGGAGTAGGAGGAGGTCGAGGAGTGAGGAGGAGGAAGAAGAGCAGGAGGACGATGAACGAGGAGGAGGGATGGGAGGAGGAGATTAGGAAGTAGGGGACTTAGGATTAGTAGGTAGTAGGAGGAGGAGGAGGAGGAGGAGAGAGGAGAGAGGAGAGAGGAGAGAGGAGAGAGGAGGAGGAGGAGGAGGTGGAGGAAGAGGAGGGGGGGAGTCCTGCGCCGATCCAAGAGCTCCGCGCGGACCTCTCAGAGCTTACAGTGGGGACCCATGCCGAGAAGCACCCATGCCGAGAAGCACCCATGCCCTGCGCGTCTTGGGTTTCGGCGGCTTTGTTGCGGAAGGCGCGACGATCCCACACCAAAGCTCGATGGACGTCCTGAGGTCTCAGGATTGGCCTTCGTGTGGGAGGTTCCCGGAGGACTGGCCTCCACTGTATGTCCAGGCCGGTTTTGCCGCTTCTGGTGATGCCCGACGGCGCAGGTGCTCGCACGCGATTGGCGATGAGAGGGAGCACGCAGAAAGAGAGAAATGCAAATAGTTGGGTGTGCGACGCGATAAGAAAAGAAGCATCCTCTGGCTACTCCTCTTCTTCGCAAGCGAAAAGCATGTCCGTATCCCCTGCCTCGCCCTTGGCCCGCGACCCTGCGGATACGGGGCGTTTGTTCCAGGATGCCCCGCGGATGCGGTGCGACCGCGCATCCACGGGCTCGCGCCCCAGAGTCCAGACCGCGAGGGCGTGGACACGGATCCGTTCGCCGCTCGTGACCTCTTCCTCTTCCTCCGGCCCGGCCCAGCTTGTTCAAGTGGCTCACGCCTTTCCGCCGACCCCCCAGGTTGGGCCTTCTGGAGGGCCCTTCCGGGCATCAGCGGGGCTTTTCGGGGCTTCTTGAGGGCCTTTTGGATTTGGATGTCCCAACCTACTTTAGCATCGACCACCAGAAAGAAGTTCGAGCACCACGAAAAGTACCGAAACTCGAGGGTGTTCACGTGTCGGGCCCTGGGAGGCGATACTAGGTCGGCACTGCTTCGACACTCCTCTGGGTGCCCGCAGTTATTTCTGGGATGCTGTCCTCAAGCACGACGGGAGATACATAAGATCGAATATCGCGACAATCACGGCCAGGGCCCTGAGACTCCGTCTTCCTGCGACCCGAGAGGGTCCCAGTGCCCGAACCAGGGCGCAGAGTTGCCCATGGCGAAAGGATGGCGACGCCTGGATCTCGGGGCCGTCTCCCTCCTCCTCCTCCTCCTCCT